TATTGAACCTTGAAGATGGGAGCAGCAGATTTCGAAAGTTCTAGGTTTTTTTTTAAAAGTAATTTCTTTGTACTGTTTCTCATTTACCTGTATTTGTTTATATTTGCAGTATATAACACTATAATTTACATAAACATCAATTCACCTGTATACACTAATTTTATTGTAAATCGAAGTATCTTTTTAAAACATGTGGTACTGCACTTTCTCTATAATAATTTATGACACGACATTTTTTGACCAACGATAGCATTTTATATGTTAGTAATTGCTGAGTAATAAGTGGTGAAATACAAGAATGTGAGTTACATTATGCGAATGATTACGCCAATACTTGATATTTATATCACTGAAGTGCAGTGTTGTATTTAACTTTGATTTATTATTTTGGAAAAAGAACCATTGATTAATATCTACAAGACTTAAGTAATACTTTAAAAGGCTGCCTTTTAGTGATGAAGGATGGAATTACATTTCTTTTATCACTGAAAATTTAAGGTAGTATATTTATTGATATACACCAAGTGACATTATGAAACCAATCCATATACACTTAAATCACAACTGTGCGCCGTTTAAAAGTACTCGCGTGGTAAGTGATCGTCAGAGTATCTACTCATTAGTGAGTTTTGTTTTCGAAAACGTTCATACGAATACGTCTTTCGTGGTTTATGTCAGAAATAAACGTCAACATAACGTTGCAGCAAAGTTTGGAACCATTTATAGTCAGAATTACGTCATAAATACGTATAATCGCAACGTTATTATACAGTTAATTTAACGTAAACCTGTTAGCTTAGTACGGTAATCGCAAGCTTAAGAAAACGATAACGAATACGGTTAAGTAAATTATTTTTTAGACAACCTTTTTTCTACAATAACGTCGACTATTCATGCCTTCTGCTTGAATCAATGATCATACTGAGCTCGTACAGGTTATTGTCAAGAATGTTTTACGCACAAATGACGATAATGATAATGACGTAATCGTTTTTCTAAGGTTGCGAAATCTCCCTAATATCTGTGTCACAATTATGCAATTACACGAATTGAGGGCGCACTGCAGACCCCCCCCCCCACCAAAGCCATAGATAGAAAGAGTTGCGACATTGAGAATTTAGAAGCCATCTTGTGTCATACGCGATGCGCGTTCTGTGTCTAACGTGATGTGCATTCCTGTGTATAATATTATATAATACAGTTAGTGGCCTCCTGTATAGTTTAATTCCATTTAATCTTTTTAGCAGTCGAATTTCATGTAACTTTATTTATAGATTTTTTTCTTAATGATTTCACTACTTTATATCCAGTTTCATATTATAAATACTGTAATAATTTACTATTTTTGAGCAGTTCTTTAATCCTCGCCGATAGACCGAGAGACCCTACGATGGCAAGCATTCTTCAATTAGGCAATCCCGCCATATAGACCCTTAAAATAAAAAAATAAAAAATAAATAACAGGAGCTACTTAAAGTAGCTCCTGTTATTTTTGCAAATAAATGATATGTAAGACCAGCAAAAATTAATTAAATATCAAAATGTAATAAAATCCATATATAGGGTATATAGATTGTTGCTCTTTAAATTAGAATATGAGCGAGCCCTATACAAGTCTTATGTTATTAATTTGATTATTATTATTTATAAATATTAAAATAGTATAGGTCAGTTGGCCACAATATATAAATTGTGCTTTGCTGTAAATGTTATAAATTGTAAGTGTTAAATGACATACAGGATCTGTGATATATTCAACTTGTGTAATTGTGTAACGTATATTATTGTATTAAAAGTCTCTGTTTTAATATTGTATTATGGCTGTACAGTATGTTACTTTTATGAACACACTACAAGAGTTTGTCTGCTGTTTTAAAAGCGTCACTTCCAAAATAAAGTTATAGTAATTATAAAATTGCCATGTCACTTTTGGAGTGACATTAACACTATTTGTACTTAAGTACTGGCACGTATCCTAATGATTAAATTGCCTATTTAACTTTCCGTTATATTTATCTATAATATATACATACATTTTTTTTTCATTAAATTTTTAGTTGCCTATAATATACAAATATCGATTTGGCCTATAATGTATAATTACCATATAGGCCTAGGCCAGGAGATAGGTCTCGCAATTTAAATATATATATATATATATATATATATATATATATATATATATGGGGA